AGAAAAAAGAATGACACGGCGCCTGGGTGGCTCAGTCGTTAAGCGTCTGCCTTCGGCTCAGGTCATGATCCCAGGGTCCCGGGATCGAGTCCCACATCGGGCTCCCTGCTCGGCAGGAAGCCTGCTTCTCCCTCTCCCACTCCCCCTGCTTGTGTTCCTGCTCTTGCTATCTCTGTCTCTGTCAAATGAATAAATAAAATCTTTAAAAAAAAAAAAAAAAAAAAAGAATGAAACAACAAACAAATCAGGCATTCAACTGAGGAGTCTTGGAAGAACACCTAAGGCTGTTCTGGATTCTGCTCTCCACACGGGCCTCCAGGAGGGAGGGTTGCTGGGTTGGTGTTTGATTCCTTCTCTGCCCTGTTCTAGGGCAGAGAGTAATGCCTGGCACACTGTAGACCAGAAGTACTTGTCGACCGAATAAATGAATGAATTTCCTAGGAAAATACAAATGACCAAACCTAACCTCAAAAGAAAGGAAGAAATCAGAACAGCTAGTGACACACATCCAAAAGCCAGTGCTGAGAGAGAGCCCGAGGCTCAGGAACGGGCAAGGTGGACACACTCAAGCCACTTCAGTGGGGCACAGTGGTCCCTCGGCGTGTCTGCCGAAGGACCAGTGGCCCTCGCAACCAGAGAAGGTCTTCTTTTCTTTTTTTTTAAGATTTATTTATTTATTTGAGACAGAGAAAGGGGCAGAGAGAGAGAGAATCTCAAGCAGACTCCTGCTTAGCGCGAAGTCCGACGCGGGGCCCTATCCCACGGCCCCGAGATCATGACCTAAACCGAAACCAAGAGTCAGACACGCAACCAGCTGAGCCACCCAGGTGCCCCGAGAGGGTCTTCTTAATGCCAAAAGTTTCAAAGAAATAAGCGTGCAGGAGAGAAATAATCTTATTTGTAGAGACTTTTGAAATAGTCATAAAGAACGACAGTTCTGTTAACTGAGAACTGCAGATTAAACTCAAACTGGAAAGGCTGATTTCTCCTGCCCGGTACAGTGAGAGTGTGTGTGAAGGCATCTGAAGTCTCATTTACACTATTTCAAATTCAAACAATGCTGGAGAAATATCCATAACAAAAATTACAATCATAATTAGAATAATGTATACAATATTCAAATATGCAACAAATCTATAAAATGTAACTATAAGATGGCTTTGTGCTAAAATGTGTCACTGTTAAAATGCGGTGTCTCTGTGCCTAATTTGGGACCAGTCAATCCAATTACCACCTGACCATGGTTACTGGACGTCCTGTAAAATAACTCTCCCCCCTTTCAGAAAAGAGCCCTAAAATCCAGCCCAGAAGCGGTAGTATATTCCTTGTATTATTAATGTAAATAGACTCCAGTAATCATCTTGCAAAGCAAGTATGATAGGAAGAGCACACCAGGCCGGGATCGTCTAGACCAGTAATACAAACACAGGACAAAAGGATGCAAGACAGGGAACTGGGACACCCAGAAGACAAACAGCAGTTGTACCAGCACATGGCCAGCAAGCACACCATTCCCCAGGAAATTCGGGATATGCTTATACAAAAATAAGGTGTTAAACTTAAAATTCTGGGTGCCTGGGTGGCTCAGTCAGTCAAGCGTCTGCCTTTGGCTCAGGTAATGATCCCTGGGATCGAGCCCCACATTGGGCTCCTTGTTCAGTGGGTACCCTGCTTCTCCCTCTGCTGCTCCCCCTGCTTGTGCACTGGTTCTCTCTCTCTCTCACAAATAAATTTAAAAAAAAAAAAAATCTTTATGAACAAGTGGTAAAGAGAAGAAACAGTTTTAAGTTGAATGTGGTGGTTGTCTAGGAAACAGATAAGATGGAAAAGGCGTGTTTAGGGTCTGCGTTCTTAAGCAGATTTTCAGCAATCTGACTACTTAAAAGACTAGTAAGAATTACTTGGATTTTCTTTTTAATTTTAAATATACAAAAATTAAAAAAACTAAAATCATAAACACAAGTCAAAAGTTGCTTCCTATGAGCTAAAAGATGTCAATCACATGATGCCATAATGTCCCATAAACACAAACGTGCTCAGCATTTTTATTTTAATGACCCCTGTATGGTGCTCTTCTGCCTTTTATTTGACATAGAAGGACCTCATTTTACCCTTGAGCCTCATTACCTCAGTCAATGGACAGCAATCAGATCCCCATCTTCTTTTATTTTTTTAAGGATTTTATTTATTAAGAGAGAGCGCGCGCATGCGTGCACGCACGCACACACACAAGCAGGGGGGAGGGGCAAAGGAAGAGGGAGAAGCAGACTCCCCACTGAGTGAGGAGCCCGATCCAGGGCTCGATCCCAGGACCCTAAGATCACTACCTGAGCCGAAGGCAGATGCTTAACCAACTGAGCCACCCAGGCACCTCCAGATCCCCATCTTCGAAAGTAAAGTGTTCTCTACAGTGATTTGAAAGTCACTGACAACCAAACCTCCACTGTGACTTCCAGTTCTTTTTATGTTTACCGTAGTAACGGTTCTTCAGATTCAAGAATGTCATGGCCCACAAGCTGTCCAAAATAAAGAAGCATAAAAATCTGCTACTTCTTTTAAGATAAAGGAGAAATTCAGATAAAACATTTGATGCCCAAGGCAAGGATCCACTCCTTGATATTAATCCCAGGAAATAACATTTGTTATCTCAAAGATCCAACACTGAAGATCAAAACCTCTGTTATTTCTTAAGGAGATTTCTTAAGCAGATGAAGGAGTGATTAGGTACACTGGAGTCAGATGCACACTTTAGGAAATATGAGGTCAGGGACCCTCAATCTCCCCACAGGCTCCCTCTGCATGTGGCCACACATGCACCTTTTCCAGGAGAAAGCAGTGCAACTTTGCAGTTAAGGGGCTTTGAAGTTGGCTTGAGTTTAAAGCCTCTCTAGGTTAGAATCCCAAGTCTGGCTAGGTGGGCTTGGCCCACAGAACAGCATCTACAAGTAGGAATGAGAGAGAAGTGAAATACAGGCAGTCTTCAGCAGGGTACCCCACACACAAGGACGCTCTCAAAAGCAGCTAGTTAAGGCACAATTTTGGGTAATTGAGCCCAAGGTCAAACACTGTTAACACAACTCATTCCTCATAGGACACTTTGATACAGCCTTGTATGGATTTATCTGTAAGAATTTTGTCTTATGATAATAATTAGAACATTTCCTGAATACTTATTATGTGCCAGGCAATGTTCTAAGTGCTTGAATCAAATATATTAACTCATTCAATTTTCCTAAAAGCCATAGGGGATCCAGGCTCATTTTCCCATTTTAGTGGCAAGGAAACTGAAGCCCAAGGTTACACAGCTAGTAAGTGTTGGAACCAGGATTTAAAGATTTTATTTATTTACTTATTTATTTATGAGAGAGAGAGAGAGCACAAGCAATCAGGGGTTAAGGGAAGAGGGGAAAGGAGATGGCGAGGGAGAGAGAGAAAATCTCCAACAGACTCCCCGCTGAGCAGAGAGCCCAAGGCAGGGAAAGATCCCATGACCCTGAGAGCATGACCTAAGCCGAAATCAAGAGTTGGACACTCAACCAACTGAGCCACCGAGACGTCCCTGGAGCCAGGATTTAAACTTCAGGAGTTGTGGTGGTATCCAGGCTTTTAGCAACTAACGCTGCAGCTTCTCTCACTGTAAGCTTCTTTTTTTTTTTTTTTTAAAGATTTTATTTATTTACTTGAGAGAGAGAGAGAGAGCACATGAGAGGGGGAGGGCCAGAGGGAGAAGCAGACTCCCCCGGAGCAGGGAGCCCAATGCGGGACTCAATCCTGGGACTCCAGGATCATGACCTTAGCCGAAGGCAGCCACTCAACCAACTGAGCCACCCAGGCGCCCCTCACTGTAAGCTTCTTGAAACCAAAATCATTTCTATTTTTTAGGGGTCTTTTTAAGATTTTTATTTACTTGTTTGAGAGAGAGGAGAGAGCGAGCATGAGCGGTGGGGAGCAGCAGAGGGTGAGGGAGAAGCAGACTCTCTGCTGAGCAGGGAGCCGGATGCAGGGCTGATCCCAGGACCCTGAGATCAGGACCTGAGCCCAAGGCAGACACTTAACTGACTAGGCCACCCAGGCGCCCCCATAATTTGTATTTTTAACACACATTTGGGGCACACAATTATGTTATCAGGTACTTCATAAGGCAGTGAACTGTGTCTTTTGTCTCTGTATCTGTCCTTAAGTGCCTTAAGGTTCCCAAAAGCCATCTGAAGAGTTGAAACCAATACAGGGCTCTATTAGGACCTGCACAGTGCAACCTACCTGCCCTTCCAGCTCCCCCGGCCCCTTTCCCCCTCCCTCCCCCCTTCTATCCGTAGACTCCCCTGTGGTCCTGCTAAACTGCATGTGCATTCCGGCTTCACTGCTCACACGGTGGGTGGGGGCCCATCCCTTTCACAGTCATGTGCTGAGCACCTACTACGTGATGGTCACGGTGAACAGGCACTGCAGAGTACAGGGTGAAGAAAAATAGGACATGAATGGTAAAGAGGTGAAATCCGAGTAGAGTCTGTGGTTCCATTCATAGGACTGCACCAATGTTCACAATTTCTAAGCTTTGATCAATTTGCCATAGTCACGTGAGACTTCAACATTAGGGGAAACTGGGTGTAGGGTACTAGAGAACTTTCCGTTTATCTTTCCGACTCTTATGTCCCAATTAAACGACCGTCTCCCCCACCCCAGAAAACCCACAGATGCGGTGCCTGCGTCCACGAACTGCAGGCTGCAGGAAACCGTACACAGTACGTACACATCAGCCCCCCAGCAACACCCAGGGCTGCGGGGAGAGGAGGCGGCCGGGGCTCCCCAGCGCGGGGGTCGTGGGCACCTGCGCTGCGCCCACCCTGCATCACGCAGGACCCGGGGCCTTCCTGGATAACCAAGTCCTTTAAAGGCGCACCCCGCAGCCCCCCTCCCGGTCCTCAGCTGCACAGGGGGGCTGGGGACGCGCCGGCCTCGCTGCGCAAACCGCGCGGCGCCGGGGCCCTCCTGGGACGCACCTGGAACTCCAGCCCATAGATCACCGGAGCGTCGTCCTCCATGCTGCGGCCACTCACACGCCTAAGGCCTGTCCCTAGAGCGGACGCGCCTCCGGGTCAGCGCCCATTCATTCCCTCCCGCCCAGGAGGCCCGAACCCGGAGTCTTTTAGGCCCACCTCGGCTCCCGTAGGCCTTACTTCCTGTATTTTCCTGATGCGTCATCAATACGCTCCTCGCCGGCTGCCAATGGATGTGGCTCCGGGCTCGTGCGCATGCTCACCTGACTCCATACGGGTTCTCACCCCTACTGGCCGCAGGAGGAGGACCCGACCCGGAGGAGCCTGGCCCGGAGCCAAATCTCCAGGGGTGGAGGAGGGGCTGGGCGGTGGGGCATGGACTGGGGTGGCGGGTGGCGGGCGTCACTCAGATGTCACCTGCCTGGAGCCCTCCCTGCTCCGTTATCGCAGAGAGAATCACTCACCTGGATCTGTGACGTGTTGTTTGTTATGGTTAGTGCTTAGAGGGGCGCGGGGACAAACGCTTTGCAGGCGCTGTCTTGAAGTTCTTCGCTCTAACCCTGCGCCTAAGGTAGGATGCTTCCATCTTAAGAGATGAGAGACTGCAAAATTGACTAACAGTTAAGTGCACCGAGGTAATAAGGTGGGGAGCTAGGATGTGTGCCTGGTCTGTGGACTCACCAGGACACTGCCCAGGATCCCTAAGGTCAGGGGCCACGCTCCTTCAGGCGGCAGGCAGCCAACACTATGGGGGGGCCGGGGGGGGAGGAATACCAGTGCTGCGCCAGGGGGTGATGCCTGGCACCACACCTCTGGCAGCATCTGACCAGCATTTGACTCTGAATGGGAACCTGCTGGGAAGAGCCTGGGTTCCCTGGAGATGTCCAAGGATGATGGTGGAGGACACTACTTAGTACCCCCTGACTGTGCTGGCCTTGACCATGTCCTTAACAGACAGAAAGGAAACTGCATGGAATCCCAAAATGCCATAGCAGAACCCCCTTCACTAAGCTGGGTTCCTCTGCTTTCCAAGACCACACACCTCTCCAACTGTGTGATTATTTTTTTCTCTCAACCCTTAATCCATCTTCATGACAAATGGCAAGTCCTGGAACAGGTATATGAAAAGATGCCCACCATCTCTGATCAACAGGGAAATGCAAATAAAAACTACAGTGAGATATCACCTCACACCTGTAAGGATTGCCGGTATCAAAAAGTCAAAAGACAGCAAGTGTTGGCAGGAAGTGGAGAAAAGGGAACCCTTATACGCTGTTGGTGGGCATGTAAACTGGTGCAGCCACTGTGGAAAACAGTATGGAGCTTCCTCAAAAAGTTAAAAACGGAAGTACCATATGTTCCAGCAATCCCACTTCCGGGAGTCAGAGGAAATAAAATCACCATGTCAAAGAGACATCTGCACACTCGTGTTCATTGGAGCCTATTCACAGCAACCAAGACATGGAAACAACCTAAGTGTCCATAGACAGATGAATGGATAAACAAAATGTGGCACACATGGGTGCCCCCCCACACACACACACACAATGGAATGTTATTTAGCCTTAAGAAGGAAATCCTGTCATTTGCTAAACGAATGAATCTGAGGACATTCTGCTAAGTGAAATAAGCCAAACACAGAAAGACAAATATTGCATGAGTACACCTACATGGGAAATACGAAAAAAAAAACACAAAACTTTGAACTCATTGTAGAAATAGAGTGGTGCTTACCAGAGGCTGAGGGGTAAGGGGAAAGGAGAGAGTGATCAAAGGATACAACTTTTCAATTATAATGCAAATGAGTTCTGGAGACTTGATGTACAGAAAGATGACTACAGTTAGTAAGATACCCTATACTTGAAACTTTTGAGAGTAGATCTCAAGGGTTTTCATCACACACCCACAAAAAAGGTAACAGATTGGGATGATGGATGTGTTAATTTGATCAATTGTGGTACTCATTTCACGATGTATACAGGTGTCAAGACATTACATTGTACACACTGAATATATACTATATTGTCAAAAAAAAAATATGGGGCGCCTGGGTGGCTCAGTCGTTAAGCGTCTGCCTTCAGCTCAGGTCATGATCCCGGGGTCCTGGGATCGAGCCCCACATCAGGCTCCCTGATCAGCAGGGAGTCTGCTTCTCCCTCTCCCACTCCCCCTGCTTGCCTGCTTGTGTTCCCTCTCTCGCTGGGTCTCTCTCTCTCTCTGTCAAATAAATAAATAAAATCTTTTAAAAAAATAAAAAAATGTAATCACTTATGAAGACAGAAATGGTTTTTCTCTGTTGTATCCTAATGCCCAGTGCCCTGCCAGGCACAGTTAATATTCAACAGATATCCCTCAAACGAATAAAGAGCCCTCAGGGATTCCAGTAAAAAAAATCAAGGAGGCAGAGGCGCAGACCGGAGCGTCCCGTTCACCGTCTCCGATTGCCTGAGAAGGCAATCTCCATTCCCCGCCCACCATTGCACCTAGGTGAGCAGGCCCCGCCCACCGCAGCACGAACCGGAAATGGCTGGGAGGCCCTCCCTGCACGAGGCCTGCGCAAAAGCAGCGTGAACGGAGAGCGCGCGCAGGCGTAAAAGGCGGAGGAGGCGCCGGCTCCAGTCCCTCCTTCCGGTCTTCGTCCACTTTCTCCCCGCGCTCTGGTCGCGGCAGCAGGTGACCGCCTCCCCAACCCAGGGGGCAGGGGGCAGGTGAGACTCGGGGCCTGGAATGTGGGGAGGGGGTCAGGTCGTCCGTAACCGCAGCCCCGCCGGCCCTGACCCCAGCCGCTCGGGAAGCTTCTCCACGGGAGGTGCACCCCTTCGGTGGCTTGTCGCCGGGCCGCCCCTCCCACGGGGAGGGAGGGTCTCTTCATCGGTGTCTCCTGCCGGAGCTCCTTTCCGGGGTCTCCTGTCCCGGCCCCCGCCTTGTGGGGCTCCTCCGCGGGGGGCTGCTCCGTGACGTCTCGTCCTGGGAGGTCTCCTCCAGGTCCCAGCTGTGGCACTCAGTGAGCAGCTTGGCCTGAGCAAGCGCCTTGATTTCTCTTCTTGTTAGTTTGCTCTTCTGTAGACGGACGGCACCTGCCCGACCAAACCCTCAGTACTGGGAGGGTAAATGCGGCGGTTTGTGTGAAAGTGTAGACGCCGCTATTATTCCACGTCCTGATTCCTTCCAGAGCCACATTCGGGTCGGAACTGATCGATAGAGTGCGTATACTGCGAAGACTGAAAACATTTTATTTTATTTTAGGATTTTATTTATTTGACAGAGACACAGCGAGAGAGGGAACACAAGCAGACAGAGGGAGAGGGAGAAGCAGGCTTCCCGCTGAGCAGGGAGCCCCATGCGGGGCTTGATCGCAGGAGCCGGGATCATGACCTGAGCTGAAGGCAGACGCTTAACGACCGAGCCACCCAGGCGCCCCAGAAAACATTTATTTTAAAAGAAGCGCAGGGCTCAAAGATATGTCCTGAAATGCGTGTGTGTTCCTCCCACTTGACCAGGAAGGTTTAACTAGGCGGAACTTGGACTATAGTTTCCCCCTTCTCGTGGCTGCTGGAAGATAGGGTGTCTTTGCATCCAAATACTCTCTTCCTGGCTTCTTTTCATGAATTCAGGATGGTACCGAGTGACAGCCCCTGAGCCTGGCCCACTGTGGTGGGATGGGAGAGGGGGAGGGGAATGCAATTAGGGCAATTTAGTGGCAGTGTCTTTCACTCGTCCTCCCAGGCTGTGATTTCCAACAGCATGTTAGCACTGTACTTCTTTATTAAAATTATAGTTTACTGTGCTAATGTATATGTAGCTCATTACAGTTTAAAAGTACCCTGTGCATCAGTTACTGTTTATTCCTTATGACCCCAGTTTACAGACTGAGGAAAGCAAGACTAAGAAATTAAGTCATTTTTCAAAGATTGCTTAGTAGTGAAGCTAAGACTCAGCAGTTATTCAGAGCTTGTGTTCAGTGCTCCTTCTGACTCCCCTCTGCTACTCTGGATGGTGATCTGTCCTAGCAGCCTTACAGGAAGAGCAAAGGCAGAAAAATCTGTGTCGAAATCAAATATTGACAGTATGCCTTTGGCCAAATCATCTGGTTTTTTCTGCTGCATAATGGAGGTCATAATGGTACTCTGTAAGTTGGTCCTGAGGATTAAATAAGATAACACATGTAAATACTTCATCTGCAGTGTCTGTTCTTTACATGGGGGCTTTTGTAAGTATATGCTAATTAGATTTACACTACATGGCATATGTTTTCATGGAAATAGGGTTTACATTATCGCAGTCTGGTAAAAGACATAATTCCAGCATCATGTCCAGAAAGGGAACCTGAACTACTGTAGTTTTAATTGTTCTTAGTGAGTTGTTCTTAATGAAACTTCAGTTCTTAAATAATCACTTAAAGGTTAGTACTTAAAAAAAAATGTAAGGTGGGGCGCCTGGGTGGCTCAGTCGGTGAAGCATCTGCCTTCAGCTCAGGTCATGATCCGGGGGTCCTGGGATCGAGCCCCGTGTCAGGCTCCTTGCTCAGCAGGGAGTCTGCTGCTCCCTCTCCCTCTGCCCCTTCCCCCCGCCCCGTTCTCTCTCTTTCTTCTCTCAAAAAAGTAAATAAAAATCTGTAAGAAAATATAAACGATCTTTGGTTTCAAGAAGTTTACAGTGAGAGAAGCAGCAGCATTAGTTGCTAAAAGCCTGGACACCACCACAACTCCTGAAGTTTAAATCCTGGCTCCAGGGGCGTCTCAGTGGCTCAGTTGGTTGAGAGTCCAACTCTTGATTTCGGCTCAGGTCATGATCTCAGGGTTGTAGGATCAAGCCCTGAATAGGGCTCCACACTGGTCATGGTGCCTGCTTGAGATTCTCTCTCTCCTTCTTCCTCTGCTCCCCCCACCCTGCTCATGCATGTGCTCCCTCTCCCTCTCTCTCTTAAAAAAAAAAAAAATCGTAAGGCATTAATTAAGGGCATCGTGCAAAGCACTCACCTGAACAAAAAGTCCACTTTCTTTGCTAGCATTTTAATGCTAACATAAGCTAAAATCATGTCTCTGATTTAATAAAATTATTAAGCCAATAGTAGAAATAATGAATTATATTACACAGAAATCAAAAACAAATACATCTGCTGTTCCATTTTTTAATTATGAAATATAAAGACCACATGTAACATTCATGGAAGACAAAGATCAAGTGCAAACCTGACCCAGTCTTCTGCCCACCAGCATAGAAATGGACAGTTGCCAATGGCTTGTTCATGTGTCCCTCCCTGATCAAACCTTCACTTGCCATTACCTCCAGCCCCCTCCCCAAAAGAATTGGGTATTATAATCACCTTGCTTTTGCACTTGTATTCCTAAAACAATACATTGTTTAATTTACGTGTTTTTGAACCTTATACAGAAAATTATGCTGCTTATTTTTCTACTCATTCTTTGTGCAAAATTAGATTTGTGAGGTTCAAACATTGATGCACTAGATATAGCATGGTTCATTCGTTTAACATTTAATGTTCCATTTTTAATATGCTATTTATTTATTATTGTGTCTGTGGGCAGTACTTGTTTCCAGATTTTTTTTTTAAATCTTTGGAAGGAGGCAGGTATTTTGTTTGGAGTTGCTGTTGATAAGCATTCACGGTCATAGCTTATGCTACCATGTGAGGAGTTTCTCTGTGATACATAGGTCATAGAACCATTTATTGTCTTAACCAGAGCTCTTGAGAGCGAAAAGATATACTTAGTTTTACCATAACCATGGGTATGAATGGAAGCGTCCTGGAAAAATCAAGATGGATGGCTATTGAGTCACAGGATTCATGCTTGTGAAATGCGTATCCCTTTCAGCCTGTTTGGATCTTTGGCCTATTTTTCTGTTGGGTCATTTATTGTCCTATTGAGTTATAAGAATTTTTTATATATTCTTGATATTAATTAAGAAGTCTGACCGTACCAAGTGTAGGTAAATGTGGTGAACAAGAATACTTTCACACTGCCACTGTGTGGGTAAATTGGTACAAACACTTAGGAAGGCAATTTGACATTATCTAGCAAAGATGAAGAGATATATTCTCTATGAACCAACATACACATAACGTTTGATAACATCTTGAAGAAGTTTGCACATGAACACCAGGAGACATGTATGAGAATATTCATAATGGCACTGTTTGTACTATCAAAAACCTAAAAATACCTCAGATGCTCATCGGTGATAGAACAGATCATATGTTGAGGCGCCTGGGTGACTCAGTCAGTTAAGCGGCTGCCTTCGGCTCAGGTCGTGATCCCAAGGTCCTGGGATTGAGCCCCATGTAGGGCTCCCCGCTCAGTGGAGAGCCTGCTTCTCTCTCTCCCTTTACCTACCTCTCTGCCTGCTTGTGCTCTTTCTCTATCTCTCTGTCAAATAAATAAAATCTTTAAAAAAAAAAGAATAGATCATATGTTGTGACACCATCACACAACAGGGCACTCTCAACAGCAAAGATGTATGAATCCCAGCCTCACACTACTAATAAAGTTGAATCTCAAGGTTAAGCATAGAGAGGGGAAATTAGGTCAAAAACTGAAAATTCTAAGTAACGTGTTAAGGAAGTAAGCATGTGGAAGATTAAAGAAAAATAAGAGTATGGCAAATTTCAGAATATTACCACTAAAGGGGAGGGAAGTAAATATTAGAGTGTCTCAACCGTATGTTATAAATATTGTTTGTATCCACTCAAAATTTGTTAAAAGTTTTTTACAGAAATGCACCTTTAGGAGAGAAGGGGGAAAGTTACAAGAAAAGAACCTCTAAGTTCTCCTACTGAGAGAAGAAAGTTTGTACCTGAGCTATCTCTTTCTGTCCAGAATATCTCCGTCACCCCTGTGCCATTTTTCTGTTTGCCTCATGTATGTGTGTTAGCTACCTAGCTTTCTCTCTGTGTCACTCCCTACAACATGGAATTACCGAGTTACCCTGGGATCTAAGACACAGTAGTATGCTGTGAGTTGCAGGATGTTTCAAAACAGCCCTTTGGCAGTGGTTTTTAATAAATATGTAGTTTCTATTCAGAAATTAAGATTGGGGTGTCCGGGTGGCTCAGTTGGTTGAGCATCTGCCTTTGGCTTAGGTCATGATCCCAGGGTCCTAGGATCGAGTCCCGCATCGGGCTCCTTGCTCAGTGGAGAGCCTGCTTGTCCCTTTCCCTCTGCCCTTCCCCCAAAGAAATTAGGATTGACAATATAATTTTTACTCTGGATTGGGCAGCACCTTTTTAGTCTTTATCACTAGGAAACATTGATTTTTCTAATTTAGATTGGATTAAAAACAAGGTTTCTAAAGAGAAAACATAGTTACAAACAAGCATTGATTTGCAAGAATGTTGATGTTTACCTTGCTTTCTTCCTTTCAGAAGATTGTTACTTTAAAAACATTTTAGATAAATTGGTAAACACAATTGCTGTGTCAGAGTTTTATCCTTTGCCTACCTGCTCTGCAGAAAAGTTACATTTCTATTCTCAATAAATAAGCTTCCCCAAAGCTCTCTAGGAGCTGTCATTTCTAAAAATCTGTCTCTGTCAGAGTTTTTTTCCTAAAAAGTCATAGTTTCAATCTCTGTTTCTTTAATTACTGGTGAAGCAGTTGTTTCTTGCTGTAAGTATCCAGTCCACATCATGAGTGGGTCTTGTATAGTGATTAGCTTTCTCTTATTCCAATGAATTGTGGGAAGTAGCTCAGTGTTATCTGGACAGTCTTTCCTATGGTGCCCCCATTTTAGTCTGTCTCTGTATCTAATACATACAAATTAACCTTGACTGGCAGTTAATCCTGCTTATTTTAAGAGTAGAACTTTCTCCACCCTTCTCTGTATATAAAGAAAACACTGTGCTTTTGCCAGTTCTGATATTTTTACCTTTTCCTGCAATTGTATCAGACCTTTTCTTATAGCCTACATTATTCTACAATTAACCATTAGTGTAGTATTGGGATTTCTGGAGTTAAAATCTGAACTGTTTTTATTCTGCGAGGGGCTCAGAACCAAGTTAACCCAGCTATAGTTACTGGCATCTCCCAGGTAGGCAAGCACTGTGCTAGGGGCTGGGATACTTCAGTCCTCATGAGGGTTAGTCAGGAAGGACCAAACTCCATTCCTGGCAGTGTGGGAAGTCAGACTGAGCCACCCAAGCGCCCCTACCAATGATTTTATCATTTTCTTTTAGAGATTTTATTTTTAAGTAATCTCTGTCTACACCCAATGTGGGGCTCAAACTCACAACCCCAAGATCAAGAGTCATGGGCTCTACCGACTGAGCCAGCTGGGTGCCCCACTACCAGTGATGTTGCTGAGTCCCATCACTGCTCTGATTCTCAACGTCCCCTTCTGTGCATTGGGGCATTGATGGTGTTGCATTCAGCTGCTGTCCAGGTGAAAGGAAGTCGTGCTTGCTGTTCCCATGGTCTTCCTGCCCAGCCTCTGCTGCACAGAGAGGACCCAGGGGACAGCCCCGCATGTGACGGCATGTCCATTTTTGATGCTCTCCAGGCAGCCTCTCCTCTGCCTTGCTATGAAACGGTACCAGAAAAAGGCTTTTGTTCCTTTTTCATTTCATTTTTGACTCCTTTATAGCTAATCAGATGAATATGTAACAAATGGGGAATTAGTAACTGACTATGCTGGACAAGAAACTTCTCCAAAGTGTTTACCTTTGGTTATCTACTTTAATCTTGTTTTTAGAGCTCAGGGTGACCAGGCTGTAAAAAGGAAGGACGGCTAATTTGGAATACTGTGGAAGTGTTGCCAAAGAAGTACTCTTATCTAGAGATCATCTAAGTATAGATTTTAAAGGTCAAGCAGGCATTTTTTTTTTCTAGAAAAACCCTCATCTTAATTGGACTTCGTTCACTATAAGAATAGAACCATATACAGTAACTTTTGCTAAAAAGGTTTTTCAAGAAAAGGAGCACATTTTCTTTAGAGTTCAAACTCCTTGTTTCATTCTGTGGCCTCTACCATCCAGTGTCAACCCAGCGTTTCAGCTTTAACCGGCCCTGGTTTCTCCGCTTACTAGCGGCACGGCTTTGAGCGAGTTTGACCTCCCTGAGCATCAGCTTCCTCATCTGCAAGATGAAGAAAATGATAGTGGTTGTATCACAGGGTGGTTCTGAGGATCAAGTAAGAACATACACATACAACCCTTAGAACAGTACCGAGGACAGAATTCGCACCAGTAATCTGTCTGGTTCACTGTCATTAGGTCCAGTGGTCAGCCTGCTTCAATGAGGGTGCCTGTCTTGGTACAGTTTTTCTTTCTCATGCTCGACTCAGGCAGACAGCGTCCCAGGGAGAATGGGGAGATTGTTACAGGTTGGAGTGTCTTGGCTTCATGGAAGAGGGGGTCTACAACTGGGTCATAAGTAGAGGTTTTTGTTGTTGTTGTTGTTTTAGTTTGCTTTCAAAATCTCATTCTTTATTATTACCGACTTACTGCACACTGCTCCAAACCCACTGTAGCACTTCTCATGGGAAAATGTCACAGGCACGATCCATTCAAGTTTCCCAAACTTTTATAACCAAAACCTGACACGTGGACCCACATAGGTGCACACTACAATAATATGACTTTCTCTGGAAATGCAACCCAAGGAGACACAGCCATCATCCCTAACAGTATAAATCCACAAAAATTGAATTAAGATTGTTGGCTAGGCTGATAGGCAGGGGCCAGGCAATAGGGCCTTTGTGTTTTCTTGGCTTCTTGCCTACTCTGCCCGCTAAGAACAAGTAGGGTTTAAAAGGCTGGAGACCTCACCCCCGTTAGGAAGGCTACTATCAGAACAGGAAATAACAAGTATCATCAAGAATGTGGAGAAATTGAAATCCTTGTGTATTTTTGCAGGAAATGTAAAATGGTGCAACTACTATGGAAAACAGTTTGTTGGTTGCTCAAATAATTAAAAATAGAATTGTCATATGATTCAGCAATCCTACTTCTGGGTATATACCCAAAGGAATTAAAAGCAAGGACTTAAAGAGATATTTGTACATGCGTGTTCATGGCAGCAGTCAGTGGCCGAAGCGTGGAAGCAAGCCAAGTGTTCATCGTGGATGAAGGTGGAAGCAAAATGTGGTATGAAGATACAATGGAATATTAGTCAGCCTGAAAAAATAAGGAAATTCTGACATACTACAACATGGGTGAACCTTGAGGGCATTAAGCTAAGTGAAATAAGCCAGTCACAAAAGGGCAAATACTGTGGTGTCCCACTTATGTGAAGTACCTACAGAAGTCACATTCATGGGGTCATAAAGTAGAAGGCCATTATCAGGGGCTGGCATTGGGGGGCAGGGAGTGCTGGGGAGTCATTGTTTAATGGGTACAGTGTTTCAGTTTTGCAAAATGAGAAGAGTTCTGGAGATTGGTGGTGGTGATGGTTGCACAATGATATGAATGCACTGAATACCCCTTAATTTTGAAGTCAAAAATGGTTAAGATGGTAAGTGATCAAGATGGTTACGTTATGTGTCTTTTACCATGATCAATCAATTGATAGATGGCTGGAGAAATGGAGTCTTTCGAATTTTGAACCATGTGAATATATAACTGATAAACATTTTTTAATAGGCTTTATTTTTTGGAGCAGTTGTGGTAGGTTCACTGCAAACTTGTGAGCAGAAGGTTCAGAGATTTCCCATATACCCTCCACCTCCCTCACCAAGCAGTACATTTGTTACAGTCAGTGAACCTGCGTTGACACGTCATTATCACACAAAGTCCATAGTCCGCATTAGCGTTCACTCTTGGTGTTGTGCATTCCATGAGTTGGGGCAAATGTATAATGACATGTATCCACCATTTGTTTTTAAGTTTGAAAAACAGTTTTAACAGGAAGGTAAAATCAGCTCAACAGTAACTGAGATAGAAAGCTGATGAGGTTGGTTCATATCTGTCTTTGCTTCAGGGGGCCATGGAGAATGCTAACGGCACCAAGCAGAGCGTGACTGAGGACTCGAGTCCGGCCGAGGGGCAAACCGGGAGCACCACTCCGCAGGGAGAGCAGGGGCAGCTGCTTTATCACGAGGAAACCATTGACCTCGGTGGAGACGAGTTTGGGTCTGAAGAGAATGAGACTATATCAGAAGATTCTAATAATTTCGTAGATAAGCTTAATGAGCACCTGATGGAGAGCGTCCTCATTTCTGACTCTCCTAATAATAGTGAAGATGACTCAGGTGACCTTGGCTGTTTGCAGGATGTTGTGGAGCCTGCAGAAGGCAGCGCTGGTCCCACACTGGAAAGTCTCGGGGACGAAGGAGCAGTGGACACCCTGAGCAAGGACAGTGAAAGTGACGGAGAGGATGTGTCTAAAGACATCTCTGACACGACCCCGGACCCAGACCACAACCAAGTCAAAGGTGTGCCCGCCTTGGGAGAGGAGGGTGCAAAGGACCCTGGCCCAGGGGACGGGAGCACTCACCCGGAAGGGCTGGGGTGCACCCCACCTCCGAGACAGTCCCCTCCCACTGAGGAGCCCGTCCCGGTGTGCACCATCTTCAGCCAGCCGCTTCCCGCCCGCTCCCAGCCGCCCCTGCTCCTGCGGGATGGCTTCGAGCCCCAGATGGTGAAGTCTCCGAGCTTCAGTGGTGCGAGCGAAACGGTGGCCAAGACCCCTCCCCAGGCTGTGCAGCCAAGCCCCAGCCTGAGTAAATTTTTTGGTGATCCTGCCAACACTAATTCCTTGGCCTCAGACTTCTTTGATTCGTTCACGACTTCCACTTTCATCTCCGTCAGTAACCCCCATGCAGGTTCTTCAGCTCCAGAAAAACTGTCTTCGCTCTCCACTCCGGGGGGAGAAAGATCCCCAGGTGCCGCTGAGCCTTCTCACTCTCCAGGGATCGAAAAGTCAAAAGCAGGTGTTTCCCCAGCTTCTGTAGAAATCTCTCAGTCTCCAAAACCGTTTTCACAGATCCAGGCTGTGTTTGCGGGGAGCGAGGACCCCTTTGCCACGGCCCTGAGCATGAGCGAGATGGATCGCAGAAGTGATGCCTGGCTCCCCGGGGAGGGGACCAGGGACGTCCTGATTTCAGTAGCCACCCAACAGTACAGCACAGTGTTCGTAGACAAGGAGAGCCTCACCATGCCAGGCCTCAAGTTTGACAACATCCAGGTGGGTGCAGGACATCTTCAGGGGGGCGTTCGTGGCCGGATTCCTCAGCGGCCACTTCTAGTTCCTTCTCATCTCTTTCTGCTTTCCCTCTCTCCCTCACCCCCCCCCCATATGGATGTGTGTGTGTGCGTGCGCGTGCACATACACACACATAAATACCTTTCAGGGATTGAAAAGTCCCCATTTTTTAGCAATTCCTAAAATACTCTTTTGGAGAGTCTGTGTTACATCACTAGTTAATTTGGAACTTTGTTGATTTCCCTAATGTATTTAAGGCACTAGTCAACGTCTTAGAAGTAAATGCCAGCAAAGTAGATAGTTACATCATAATTCTCTGACGTAGCTGTGAACTTCAGGTGCTCAGGTTATTTGTGACATTTAAGCTTCAGCAAATGATAAGTCTCCCATTCCGTTTTTTTAAAATCTGGGGAGTATATTTGTTTAGCATATAACATGCTTGATGTAGAAAGAGTTTTATAGACTCATTAAGAAAAATGTGGATGGCCCCACAAAGTAACAAATCACAAAAATATTTCAATGTTCTATATAATAAATAGTGACATAGAAAAGTTCAGTCTAGCAATCAAAGATGATAAGGTTATCTCCATTTCCTGTTATCTAATTGGGCATTTCGTTTATGATTATTCCATGTTTGCTAGAGTGTGGGAAAATGGCCTGACTCAGGCAGCCCTGATGGGACCATAAGTCAGTACAAACATTTTTAAGTAAAGTTTTTAAATCAGCATCCAAATGTGCATATTATTTGGTCCAGAAATCCCAGTCTTAGGAATTTTTTTATAAGGAAATAATGTCACTGGTGTACAAATACCCAGCTTTTGGGATGCCCATCACAGTGTGGTTTATTATTGCAAAGCATCTGAAACGATCCAAAAGCCCATTATCAAGAGGCTGGTTGAATACATTTGAGTCATCTGTAAAATGGAATATTAACGTAGGTATTAAAAATGATGATACAGGGACGCCTGGGTGGCTCAGTCAGTGAAGCATCTGCCTTTGGCTCGGGTCATGATCTCAAGGTCCTGGGATCGAACCCCGTATCGGGCTCCCGGGCTTCCTGTTCGGCGGGCAATCTGCTTCTCCCTCTCCCTCTGCCCCTCCCCACCCCCACGCTCGTGCACGCTCTCTCGTGCTGTCTCTCTCAAATAAATAAATAAAATCTTTTTTAAAAAATTAAATACAAATGTTAAAAAATGATGATATAGCAGGATTTTTAACGAGGTCCATATTTTATTGTTAAATTTGAAAAACTGGATACAAGACGGCATGTGGCATGCATAGTATGGTGAGAATGTTTATAAATACGTGTAACACGTACCTAGAGAGTGAGCGCATCGGATGCCAGTGGCAGGTGATTGCCCAGGTTGCCGGGCATGGGGGACATCGGTCCAGCCCCCGTGGCTGGCCTTGTGTCCTGCGCGTGTCTGCCCTCCTGTCTCCAGCAGCCCTTTTGGGAAGCATGTGCCCGCTCCTGCACATGCATGGCTGGTCGGAAGGCCCAGTGCGTGGGACGTGTGTTGTCGTGGCATGGTAAACTGCTGAGCCCTGGGAGAAGGGCCACACTGGGGACCTAGAAATGCGAGCCCATAGGTTCTGACACTTCGCATGGCAGTGTTGACAGCATATTCAGGTACCAAACGCACATTTATTGTGCGTGTACTGTTTACCAGGCATTGTGAGCAGCTTCCTTCTCCACTCTCTCGAGCAGAATACACTGAACATAAACTTACTTTTGCGGCATCTTTTTAATGAATTCTGGGTATGGACTCTGAGTTCAGGGGGTACTTGGACATGCAGGATTTGGTTTATGTATTCACAGATTGCCTTCCCCACCCTTCCCTAGCCCTGTCTACATCCACTCTACCCGCAGAGGGGGAGGAGGGGAAGGCTTTACTGTTCCATGTTTCTTCCGTCCCTGCTTCTGGGGGACTCTGTGCTTGGCCACCATGTTCCTGCAGCCTCCGTGGGACTGGCCTTTTAGCACTTCCTTTCCACACTATCTGTTGTTTGCAGTTTGCTTCCCCCCCATTGTAATTCAGGGAAAATTGAAGGTTGCCATGGAAATGACTTCGCCCAGGGGTTCTAGGGTATGTTTGGAGATGTGTAGAGGTGCTTCACTCTGGTTGCCAGAGGTCTAGGGTGAGCACATGACATTCATGGATGCGGCCAAGCATGCTAAATAGCCAGTGGGCTGGTTAGTGCCAGACCAGAAATACTGTGCTGCCCAAAATGTCAGTCCTCCTTGAGTCAGGAAACACAAGCCCTGAAGTTCAGTGCTGGTTTCCCCTAGATTGAATCAGATACAGAGGCCCTGTCATAGGTCCTCCCTAACTCTAAAGCTTCCGTGATTTACCTCCCCAGTTCCACGCAGCTGCCCATGAGAAAGTCAGGACACTGCACAAGTCAGCAAGGGTTAGGGAGCTCCCACTGCCTGGGCAGAGGGCAGGGAGCTGACCAGGGCACAGCCTTCCTTCTTTTCATTTCCTTTAAGTCCTCCGGCCATGTCTTCAGGACCTCTTGCAGTCCACGGTGGTGGTTTTGGGAACCTTGTGGTAGGTTGAAATTTGAACCAAGAATAGTTCCCAGAATACCTTTGACTCTCCCACATGACAGGTGTGCTGCGTGGGCGCCCACATGTGTCTCTTCACCTGTACGTTATCATTCCCAAGACAGAAAAGAAAATGTACGGTTAACCTTGAACCGACATGCTGTGTTTATTCGCCAGGAGACTTCAGATTGGTTTCTCTATTAATTTTCTGGGCACACCAAGCTTTTGAAACCAGTTCTTGGATTTACTTATTAATAAGCTCCCCCTTTGTCACTGTTACTACGACAGAGTTGTTCATTCTCAATCAGCTTTCTAAAACACTTAACGATTTTCTTCCAAATTGCTCACCTCATTAAAAATTACCTTCCTGGAGGATAAAACTTGAAAAGATTTTAATTTCTCTCTGAAATGACGTCAGTGGCAGTCTTAGCTAAGTTAGAAGCTGAAAGGTGAACGTGTAACACCTCCTTCCACTCCGGTGGCATCAGAAGGACACAGACATTTTCAGCTCGTTATGGTTGTACGTGCCCTCTGTCCTCAAAGGAGTAAATGGAAAGTTTGTGGGGAAATGGTAATTCAGAACTTTTTAGAACCGGTAAGGAATGAAAGTGGAGAATTGTTTGTGTGGTGCTTGTTCACTAAAGAGAGAGGAAGGGAAAAGGGGAATAAATAGAAGCAGCAGAATTTCAGTGGTGAGGGTAACAGGGCGGTGAAGGTGAAGGTGATGGGGTTGGGCCCCTCTTGCAGGCATCAGAATTCCCCAGCCCATGCTGGCGGCACGAGAAACCTGGCACACACACTTGGAGACTGGAGCCTTCCACCACCCCTTTCCCATTCTCTTTCCCTGTTCTTGCCTTCCCTCTCACCCTTCCTGCAACTTGGATTTCTCCGGAATCCCCTCAGGGAAGCCCACACGGTCTGTGTGGAAACCCCAGGTCAGGAGCCTACAGGAAGCCAAGGACCCACCTGTTCCTGCAGCTTCACCAGCTACACATGTTCTCAGCTTTCATTAGTCTGCAGAAATCATTTATGTCATCTCCATTTTTAAAGGTTATTTTTTTCTGGATATGCAATATGTTTACAATATAAAATTCCAGGTTGACAGGTGGTTTTTTTTTCCATTCAACATTTTAAAGATGCTCTTCCATTGTGTTCTGGATGTGAAGTTTATAATAATTTTTAAGATCTTATTTATTTGAGAGAGAGTGAGCACAAGCAGGGAAGAGAGGGCGAAGGAGAGGGAGAAGCAGACTCCCCGCTTAGCAGGGAGCCCGATGAGGGACTTGATCCCAGGACCCTGAGATCATGACCTGAGCCAAAGGCAGACACTAAAGCGACTGAGCCACCCAGGCGTCCTATAATTTTATCTTCACTCTTCTATACCTAATGTACATGTTTTCCTCTGGTTACTTTTAAGATTTTATCACTGGTTTTCAGCTGTTTGATCCTGATATGCATTCACATGGTTTTCTTTTCTGTTTATCTTTCTTGGGATTTGTTGACCTTACTGGGATGTGTTTTCCCAGTTGGGAATATTCTAGTCCTTACCTCTTCAAATAGTTTTTCAGTTTTCCCTCCCTCCTCTCTACTTCTGGGACTCAATTCCACACATTACTCGATTTTGCCAGAGGCCACGAAGGATCTGTGTTTGTTATTCAGTTTTATTTCTCTTTTTGCTTCCCTTTGAAATTCCTGCAGTCATGTCCTGAAGTCCGTAGTCTTTCCTTCTGTGCTTTTTAGTTTGCAGCTGATGCTTTTTGGTGAATTTTTCATATTTTTTGTCTCCAGAATTTGCATTTGCTGCTTTTTTATCTTTTTCTTTATTCAGTGTGTTGAAGTTTTGCTTCAGATCCTCACGGACATTTATAACAGCGGTCTGAAGGTTCTTCTCCGGGTAGTCTGTCATCTCCGTAATCTCTGGATCTGTTTGTATTTATCTCTTCTCTTGGTCGTGGGTCACATGTGCTGGCTTTGTCCCATGTCTCATCATTTTTGGTTAGAGGATGGACATTGTGGGTTTCATGTGTTTGGAAGTCTGTATTGTGTTGTCTTCAAAAAGACTTGCGCTTCGTTCTGGTCGGCAGGTATGTTATATGCAGATTCACTTGATCTTTTTCAGGTTTGTTTTTAAGCTTCTTAGGGTGAGTTTAGAGTAGCTTTTCCTCGTGGGTGACCTTTCTGACATCTGTCGAAAGCCTCGGTGTTCAACAAGAGTGCTCCACACAGTTGGCATAAACTTAGCATCTTTCAGCCTGTGTGACCTCTGAGAATTGCTCAGCTCCCTTGCCGTTCCACCCAGCCTTCTAGAGCATCACCGTGTGCATGGGCTGCTTGGTGTCCAGCAATGGACTCAGGCTTCTGTGCAGAGGTCCCTCGTTTTCAGTGCTCCTTCTTGCCAGTTCCAGCCACCTCAGCCTCTCGGATTCCCAACTTTGTCTCCTCACCTCAGCAAGTTCACCACACCCTGCTTGGGACTCCTCTTCACACTGTGCTCCAAATGTGCCTTTGAATTCAGGAACTCAAGTCATCTTTCTCATTCTCTCAGATCCCAGCCCTCTTCTGTGTCTTCATCCCTTTCCTCACTGGAGAACAGTCCAGTCCCGGTTACTCGTAAGAAGTCCCTGCTGCTTTTGCTCACCACACTTGTGCACGGTTCCTGAGCTAAGTTTGCTGAACTGAGTTGAAGCATGAGAGTGAGCCCAGGAAGACGTGGGGAGGCCAGTTCAGGCCATTCTGTGATAGCCTCCCACCGTTTTCCTTGTTGAAACATTCTCTCAAATTCTGATTTGTTTGGGGCCTCACAAGAAAAAAAGGATTAGATTTGGTTTTGTTTTTACAGCTTAAGGGAAATAGAGTTCACATGTGATACAGTTCACACATTCAACTTACAATTCACTGGTTTTTAGCATTTTTTTTTAAAAGATTTTATTTATCTATTTGACAGAGAGAGACACAGTGAGAGAGGGAACACAAGCAGTGGGAGAGGGAGAAGCAGGCTTCCCGCCGAGCAGGGAGCCCGATGCAGGGCTTGATCCCAGGACCCTGGGATCATGACCTGAGCCGAAGGCAGACGCTCAGCAACTGAGCCACCCAGGCGCCCCTGGTTTTTAGCATTTTGACAGAATTGTGCAACCATCACCACAGTCAATTTTTAGAACATTTTTATCTCCCCAAAAGAAGCCAAACCCCGCCCCCTCCCCCAGCTCCAGGCAAGCACTGATCTCTCTGTCTCTGGATTCTCCTGTTCTAGACATTTCATACAAATGCAGTCATACAATATGTGGTCTTGCGTGACTGGCTTCTGTTACTTAGGATAATGTTTTCAGGAGCCGTCCATTTTGTAACATGTATCATCCCTACATTACTTTTTATTGTCAAATAATATTCCAGTTTATGAATATTCCACATTTTATCCATTCATCCCTTGATGGACATTTCATTTGTTTCCGTTTTTTGGCTGTTGTGAATCCACTTTTTGGCTGTTGTGAATGATGCTGCTTATGAACATTCATGAACAAGTTTTTGTGTGGTCACATTTCCATTTCTCTTGCGTACGTACTTCGGAGTGGAACTGCCGGGTTACATAGCAACTCTGGGGTTCATTTTTTTAAGATTAATTTATTTATTAGAGAGAGCATGTGTGCACACATGCGTGCACAGGTGAGGGGCAGAGGGAGAGAATCTCAGGCAGATTCCCCAGTGAGCATGGAGCCCGATGCGGAGCTCGATCCCAGGACCCTGAGATCACAACCTGAGCCGAAACCAAGAGTCAGACACTTAACCAACTGAGCCACCCAGGTGCCCCTGGGGTTCACGTTTTGAGGAATGTCCAAACTGTCTTCCAGATGGCTGCACCATTTTACATTCCACCAGTTTGGGGTTCTGCCTCGTTTTTGTTTCTTTGATGTTTGTTCAGGAGGTTTTGCTTACCCTGGGAGAGAGCAAACACAAGCAAGAGGATCACATGCTCCCAGAGCTTCTCCACTGGAGCCATGGCAGAAAGCTCACTGTGTGCTGGGTCAGGTGCAGGGCCCACTGTCTCTTCAGACCACTGCCCCATGACCACTGTGTCTTCAGGTTTCCTAGACAGTAAAGCCTGCATGCTGTGAATCAGCTGCTCCGGTTTCCGTTTTGTCTTTGTCCATTAAAATCGAGAAGGGACTGCTGAACTGTCCCCACACTGAAGGAGGGGTGGCAGCCCATGGCCATCTGTGAGCTGAGATCAGCCACTTGTTCTTGCATAAACACCTCTGACAGGGGTGGTGAGGGTGGGGGGAACAACAGGCATCCTCCCTGTTGCCTGGCTGAGTCCTGGCTCGTTCCCATGCTATCTCCCCACGTTTCCTGCTTGGCCTTGGATGCACCAGTCCCTCACTGAAGAGTTTGCTGATTTGGAGGTGTCCAAGGGTTCCAGGCGGGTTCCATCCCAGGGGCAGCAGCATAGCTCTGAGAAAAATCCCACAGCAGGGCAAGTTTGCTCCCCTCTCCCCCGCGACCACAGGAGGATGTGCAGTCAGGTGCCATGACCCCTGGGCCATAGTCCCCTCCAGCTCAGTGACACAGCAGGAGTAGGTTCATGGAAAGACATTTTGTCCCGTCCCTGGGCTTTCATAGGTGAGATGTTTGTTAGTCCTACAAATGCTCATGTCTCAGGAACTTCCTGTGCTAACGAAAATGTTAACCAGCAGAGATTTTTAAGGGAAAAGATGTTTGTAGTGTGGTCTAATTAACAGAGAATGTTGCAGGGATGGAGGAATTAAATGAGTCCTCCCTCTGCGGCATGGAGATGTGATCTTGCCCTTTTCCGGCTCACAGCTCCTCCCACCCAGTTCAAGCCCTTGTCTAATAGGAGTTGCATTCCTGCAGAGCTTTATGGAGCCATATGGCAGAGCTCTTCTTATTCTGCCCTTTAATTGTCCCTCCTAGACCAGTTAGCCCCTTCTGTGGCTCCAGCATTTGAAGCATTTCACCTCACATTCTGAAAGCAAAAAATCATAAAACTGCTGCTTCTAAATTTTCGCTAGAGAGGTGTGGCTTGGCCTCTTGCAGCACGGGGCTCAGTGCCCAGGGCCGGAACCAGACTTGTGACCTGGAACCCCCCTGCCAAAGCCGCCTCTCCCCCTTTACCCGTGGAAGGGCAGCCGCAGACCCCTGCAGCATCTTTTCTGCCACTCCTGCACACGTCATCCACAGGCTGGTGCTTTTTAAGTGTCACTGTTCTGGGCAACCACGAAAGATTCACCTTGCATGCTTACGCCAAGGGTAGGAAAACAATAGGAAGGGGCGGGGGCGCTTGTGGAGTCTGCAGGGAACACGTCCACACTGCTCTCCTCTCCGTCCTCAGTCGCTGTGTGCCCATGGCCCTGTATGGCTAGCACTCAGCGGCCTGCAGCTGGAAGCCAGGGTTTTACTCGCTGAGATGAGAGGATTCTTATTCCCCAGCACCCAAAAGGTGGCATTTCTCCCTGGCCATTCCAGCCACTGATAATCCTTCCTCTCCTGGCCTGGCCAAAGCACCTTGTCCTCTGCCCCTCGCCCTTCCATCTTCCCCTTATGTTTGGTTCGTCTTCTTTTTTATTTTTTTATCTAGGCATAAGTGATACACATTATATTAAGTTCAGGTGTATAACATGATTCAGTATTTGCAGATACTGCAAAATGGTCACCACGATAGGTCTTGTTAACATCCCTCACCTTACGTATTACAGAATTATTTTTCTCGTGATAAAACTTGTAAGATATATTCTCTTAGCAACTTCCAAATATACAGCGCAGCACTGTTAACTAGTTGCCATGCAGTTCATTCATCCCCAGGACTTCCTTCCTTCTTTCTTTTTTTTTTTTTTTTTTAGGACTTGTTTCTTTTATAACTGAAAGTTTGCACCTTTTGACCACCTTTCCCATTTGGCCCATCCCCCACTCCCACCCCTGCCTCTGGCAATCACCAGTGTGTTCCTGTATCTTTGAGTTTGTTTGGATTTTTGGTTTTCATTTTTTTAAGATTCCACATAGAAGTGACATCATAGGGGATTTGTCTTTCTCTGACTTACTTCATTTAGCATAATGCCCTCAAGTTCCATCCATGTTGAAACAAATGACAAGATTTCATTCTCTTCCTGCAACTGATCCTATTCCATGGGGTATGGACACCTCGTCTTCTTTATCCGTTCATCCGTCCACGGACACGTGGCTTGTTCCCAAGTACTGACTGTGAACATGGGGATGCAGACATCTTTTCAAGTTAGTGTCTTTATGTCCTTCAGATAAATACCCAGAAGTGGCACTGCGGGGTCATAAGCTGGTTCTGACTCTCTGAGGAACGTCCATCCTGTCCTACGGTGGCTGCTCCATCCTCTGTTCCCAGCAGCTGTGCGCCAGGGTCCCTTTCATCCACATCCTCACCAGCCGCCTTCCCTCAGGAGCTTCGGATTCTACTTTTCCATCCTTGGGCCCTGTCCGTGGGGGCGTCGAACCTAAGGAGTCGGTCTGTGAGGCCCAAGTTCCCCATGCAGAGGCCGTTTGGGCGCTTTCCTGGCCCCCAGCATAACTCCTGTGAGCGGAGGGCCTGTCTGAGCCCCTGGCATAGGACCTGCTTGGGAGGGCGCTCTTCTCTTGTCTCCTGGGCTGGGAGTGAGCCTAGCACCCGAAGGAGGGCTTGGCTGAGTCCCTGGCAGAGGACCTGCTTGGGAGGGCGCTCTTCTCTTGTCTCCCGGGTTGGGAGTGAGCCTAGCACCCGAAGGAGGGTCTGGCTGAGCCCCTGGCAGAGGATCTGCTCGGGAGGGTGCTCTTCTCTTGTCTCCGGGCTGAAGGACGGCAGTGCCAGGTCCCAGAGGCTTTCCCAGAGACAAAGGCAACCTGGCGGATTGCTGGGGCCTGTGCTGCCGCCCCCATCTGGCCCTTGGTCCCAAACCCCACTCCTGGCTCGGCGTGCCTCTCATGTAAGCCTGGTCCAGGTGGTGGTGATTTACCCCTTCTTCTAAAATAAAGAGAGCAGTTCTAAAATACACATTTTATTAAAGGTGGTGATGCTCAAGCATCTGGGTGATTGAAGTTTTAGTGTACTGTAACCACGTTTTAACCTCCAAACACCAATGGAGAAAAAAGAAATTTCGTTTAGTATGGGTTCTGGTTAGCTGAGTTTAATTAACATTTTATTGTCTTGACATATTTTTCTTACATTCCTTCAAGGGGGATGCAGTTAAAGACCTGATGCTTCGCTTCCTGGGTGAGAGAGCCGCAGCGAAGAGACAGGTCTTAAATGCCGAGTCCGTAGAGCAGACTTTCGTTGGGTTGAAACAGCTAATTGTAAGTAATGATGTGTTTGATTTCAATATTGTTGTTCTTATAAGGCCCGACTTTCCTTGTAGTATTTTCCTCAGAGTTAATTACTTCAAATGTATTATCTAAAGCCCTTGCATGTAAATAAAATTGTGTTGAATTAGATACCAGTCCTGTGCAGAAAAAGTGTCATATTAACATACTTTTAATATTAAGGCCAATTAGTTAGAAAGCCATTATTTTAAATGAGTACATTCCTTGAAGCAGAATATACTTTGATTAAACATGCTTCATCAAATACAATAACTAAAGATAAGTAATTTTTATTTTTATGTTGTTGTTCTTTTTGAAATACTCTGTTTTCTCTACTTGGTATAAAGGGTTTATTATTGAATGGGTGGGTTCAACAAAAATGCACACAAAAATCTTTGTTCATTACTAGGAGTTAAGTATGACTATGCAGGCAGAGATGCAGTCCCAAATATTAATGGGAAACTATCTGAACTGAAGGCATGTTAACATGAACAGGTAGGTGTTTCTGGCGGTCTTTGAAGCCCAGGAAACTGTACGCCCCCGACAATTGCCTTTATCCTTGGTACCTTTTATCATATTTACAGAAGTATGTGTCTTCAAAGAGGTAATAAGAATCATTTGTTTAGGTGGTTAGCAAATATTTTATACATAAAGCAATTAAAATTTAGGGGCACCCGGGTGCCTCAGTCGATTGAGCAGTCAACTCTTGATTTCAGCTCAGGTATGATCTCAGGGTCGTGGGATCGAACCCCGTGTCAGGCTCCAGGCTCAGCGTGGAGTCTGCTTCTCTCTCTCCCTCTGCTCCGCCCCGTGCTTTCTCAAGCTCTCTAAAATAAATAGATCTTTTTTTTAAAAAACAATTAGGGGCGCCTGTATGGCTCCATCGTTAAGCATCTGCCTTCAGCTCAGGTCATGATCCCACGGTCCTGGGATTGAGGCCCAAGTCGGGCTCTCTGCTCAGCGGGGAGTCTGCTTCTCCCTCCTCCTTCTCCCACTCCCTCTGCTTGTGTTCCTGCTCTCACTATCTGCTATCTCTCTCTCTGTCAAACAAATAAAATCTTTTTAAAAAAATTTTTAATAAAGCAATTAAAGTTTAATTTTTTAGTAAATTTAAATCAAATGCTTCATTGGGTTTCTTTTACTGAAGTGATTCTGGAATTATTGCTATGACTAAGAAGCTTTGGGAAGGAAAAATATGGAGATAGTCTGGCTTTTTGTTTGTTTTTTAAGAATTTTTTTTTTTTTTAGCTATCTGCACACCCAATGTGGGGCTCAAACGCCCAGCCGGAGATCAAGAGTTGCATGCTCTGCTGACTGAGCCAGCCAGGGCACCCCAGAAATAGTCTGGGTTTTTTTGTGTTTTTTTTTTTTTTTTTTTTAAATTCTAGAGCACCCTCTCGGGGAGCAGTCTTTATTTGCATTTTAAGAGAGTGACCACATAGATGAAAAACGCTGCAACCAATTGGCACAACATGCAGTCCCTTTTTTGTAATTTTATTTTATTATGTAATGTTAGTCACCATACAGTAATCATTGGTTTTTTTAATAAATTTTTTTATTATGTTATGTTAATAATCATACATTACATCATTAGTTTTTGATGTAGTGTTCCATGATTCAT